CAGATAGGGACAGAGATCTCAGGTTAGTTCTAATCCTTAAACTGAACTAACTCTCTCTGCCTCTCTGTCTCTGTCTCTCTCTCTTTGTCTCTCTTTCTCTGTCTCTCTCTCTTTGTCCCTTTCTGTCTCTCTCTGTCCCTCTCTGTCTGTCTCTCTCTCTCTCTGCCTCTGTCTCTGTCTTTCTTGACAGGGGATGGACATTAAAAGCTAAAAATCAGATTCAACAACCACCAGGATTGGTAACTTTGAATGATTAAATCCAACTTTTCAGAAACACAAGTTTTGAATGAATATTTTGTATCATAACATTTTGGGGAAGGAGTGGCCTTGAAGGTACCCTCCTGCATTCAGACAGAACCCTATTTCAGCCATCCTAGCAAGATGGGACTCTAATGAGTGTATCTATTTATCAAGACCAGAAGTAATCATGATAACAGTTGCCATAACTACAGTATTTTAGGCTTTCCTCACAACAACCCTATGGGGTAGTTATTACAAGTGTTATTGTCCTTCTTTTGCAAATGAGGAAACCGATGCTTTCTCTCTGTTCCTATATAATACTATCTCCTGTTTCAAAGCACTTCTTTCTTTCCTCTGCCTCATGGAGCTCCTCCCTTCAGGAGACAGCTTCAGCACATTCTTCTGCATGGGACCTTTCTCGACCCCCCAGATGCAAGTGCCCTTCCTCTCAGAATATCTTATATTACATTGCTTTCTAAATATTTGTATTTGTTCACTTTGTGTTTGTGCTCTACATATTTACTTATGCATGTGTACTTGTCATTTCCCCCCTTCAAATGTGGGCCCCTTGCATGTAGGCACTGTTTCATTCTTTGTATTTGTATCCCCAATACCAAGCACTGGGGTTGGCACACAATAAATCCTTAGTAAATACTTGGTTGATTGATTGCTCGGCTCCAAGTCTACTATTTTTTTATAGTTTGCTTTAGTAACCCATTCCAAAAAATTTGTATAAGAACTACAAAGTCCTAATCCACCAGGAACTTTCCATGTCAGACCCCAATTTCTTATGCTACAAGTTAAACCGTAATTTATCATTGCTGTGAAACTGATACTATTTTCTCCATTAACTAGTGAATATATCTGGAGGGGGAATTCCTTAATAAAATCAAAATAGATTATAGTTTCATAGATGTAGTCACTCAACTTACAAGGCCTTAGTCAGTCATAAAAGATTAGATTTGTCTGATATGGTCGTGCAGGCCTGTACAACACACGGCCCACGGGCTGCTTATGGCCCGCCAAAGGATTTCAGGCCATCTGAGAAAAATGTATTGTTGCCACTACCTACTCTCTCCTCTTTGTCACAGGATCCGTGGCAACCATCCATGATCAGTCTGTCTCTAGTCTAACTTATCTGTGGCCAAAGAAGTTTAGCCTATTTTAATTTTGGCCCCTACCTACTGCCAAATTGTGCAGATCTGATCTAATGTGAAATTATGCTGATGATGTTGTTTTCAAGATGTTTGCAAGTTAATTTCAGGCTATAAACTAAACTCTGTTATCCTCCATTATTTCTGATTATGACTTAGGGAGTCAGAGAACACAATTCTTGAAGTTATAGTAGATATTAAAGACTATCTGTTGATATTGAAAAAGCTCATTTTCCCAAGTAAGAAGATTATGTTTGATGTTAAAATGAAAGAATTGGATTGTTAGCCACGCCTTGTTTCAGAGGATGGAGAGAGAGGTCCTCTGTTGGACTGGGCTCAGTTCAGTGTTTCCCACCCTTTTCTCCTTTAAGAAGAATATGCTCAAATGCCCAAAAGGAAGGAGGTGGAGACAGCAAATGAAGAGCATGAAAACAAGTGACTCAGGAGGAAAGAATTTTCTGAGGGCAGGGAAAGGGTCTGGTATTGGAGGGTAGTTCTTCCTAAAGGGAGAGAATTACCAAAAGAGTATAGCAAATGATGATCTATCTCAGCTCCATCTTACCTTTATTACTCAGCCTGACCAGGGAATTCTGTCCTCAGCCCCTTAACTATTTGAGGCTTCCTCAGTACCTCACGCCTTTATCCATTATCATCCTAGCCAGGAGACTAAGAGAGGTGGAGACCTACACATGTTGAATGTGATCTGTGCTGTCAGACATGGCCACTATGTCTGTTGGTTTTGCTTAAATGTTTTTCTTTATTATATAGGAGGGTTCAATGGCTGGGGAGTAGGGTATTTGGGAGAGGGGAATGATTCTTTTTTTATTAACTAATTTATTTATTTTTAATTTTCAACATTCATTTCCATAAGATTTTGAGTTCCAAATTTCCTCCTCATCTCTCCCCTCCCCACACTCTAATATGGTGTGCATTCTGAATACCCCTTCCCCCAATCTGCCCTTCTTTCTATCACCCTCCCCTTCTCTTATCCCTTCCCCTTCTATTTTCCTGTAGGGCAGGATAAATTTCTATGCCCCATTGCCTGTGTATCTTATTTCCCAATTGCACGTAAAAACAATTTTTAACATTCATTTTTAAAACTTTGAGTTCCAAATTCTCTTTCTTCCTCCCTCCCCACCTACCCTCATTGAGAAGGCAAGCAATTTGATACAGATTATACATGTGTAGTCATGCAAAACACTTCCATAATAATCATGTTGTGAAAGACTAACTACATTTCCCTCCATCCTATTTCACCCCACCGTTTATTCTGTCCTCTCCTTTGACCCTCTCCCTCAAAAGTGTTTGCTCCTGATTACCCCTCCCCCAATTTGCCCTCCCTTCTATCATCCCCCTTCTGTTATCCCCTTCTCCCCTATTTTTCTGTAGGGTAAGGTAGATTTCCAAAGCCAATTGAGTGTGTATGTTATTCCCTCTTTAAGCCAAATCCAATGAGAGTAAGATTCACTCATTCCTTCTCACCTCCCTCCTCTTCCCCTCCACTGTAAAAGTTTTTTCTTGCCTTTTTTTTTAAGTGAGGCAATTGGGGTGAAGTGACTTGCCCAGAGTCACACAGCTAGGAAGTATTATGTGTCTGAAACTGGATTTGAACTTAGGTCCTCCTGACTCCATTTCTTGCCTTTTTTATGTGAGATTATTTACCCCATTCTACCTTTCCCTTTCTCCTTCTCCCAGTACAATCCTCTTTCACCCCTTAATTTTATTTTTTAGATATCATCCCATCATATTCAACTCACCCTGTGTGCTCTCTCTTTCTCTCTGTATGTATATATATATATATATATATATACACACACATATATATATATATTCCCTTCAACTACTCTAATACTGACAAAAGTCTCATGAGTTACAAACATCATCTTTCCATGTAAACAGTTCAACTTTAATAGTCCCTTATTATTTCTCTTTCCTGTTTACCTTTCCATGCTTCTCTTGAGTCTTGTATTTGAAAGTCAAATTTTTTATTCAGCTTTGGTCTTTTCTTCAAGAATGCTTGGAAGTCCTCTATTTTATTGATTGTCCATTTTTTCAAGGGGAATGATTCTGGCATAAAAAAGAAAGGAAAAAGAAAAGAGGAAATGAGAGAAAGGAAGAAGGAAAACATTTATCTAAAAGGCATTAATAAAATTTAAAATAAAAAAAAATAGGTCAGAACCAGGTTGCAAGGGACCCAAGATGTCAGAACAACTGGATGTCTTGAACTCCTTCTTTCATTAGTTCTATAGTCTATCCCCAAGTTTCTTGCCTCATAGTCCATCCATTTTTTGTGATTTCATAGTCAGTGCTTCCCTCTATGGGCAATCCAATCCAATCAATCAATTAATCAATTAACAGACATCTATTAAGTGCTTTCTATGTGGCAGACACTGAGGATTCAAATGACAAAGAATGAAACAATTCCTGTCCTCAAGAATCTTAAGTTCTAATGGGGAAGACTGACAACTACCATAAGAAGAACATATATGTGTTCAGAATAAATATCAAGAGTATAGGGTTGTTAAACACAAGGTAGTCAGGGAAGATGGCCATTTGCAGTTAGGGATCAGAAAAGGCCTCATGTAGAAGGCAGTGTTTGAGCTAGATACTGAAGGGGTGGGGTATGATTCTAAGTTAATTTAAGCTGAACAAGAATTCACAAAGGAGAAAGGAAGAGTCTGGAATTTGACACCCCATCCCTAGTGGCCAGTTGAATAACAACCAGGGAACCACAGAAGGTCCCTAAGAAAGGCCAGGGATAGTACAGAATGGGTGTACAGTCCCTTTGGATTGCATACAGGAGCTCTACATCTCTGAGATTGGGTCAGATATTGGACTAAGTAATTAGTATTCCCAGGGAAGAGTTGGGGTGAGAACAAGGCCTTAATTCTCCCATCTGGGAAGGCTGAGAATGGTAGGGCAGGTATTCTTTCATATGTGACTTCTACTGTCTAGTGCCCTCTGGTGGCTTTTTGAAATCATAAGTAATTACTGGACAATTCTAAATCCTAATTTTAAACACACACACACACACATACACACACACACACACATTCTACCCTCTTTGTCAGTCTCTTTTTCTTCCTACTAATGTCTATGGATTATAAGTAATAGATGATTCATGAGGGCCTGTATCATCCTGGTACATGTGCCAATTCTTCAGCTTATACAAGCTTTAATGCTTTAAAGTATATGAAATGAAAATCCAGATTTTAAAATTCTAGGTTTGTCTATAGTGTCTTCTTTCTTTCTCCCCTTCCTTCCTTCATTCCTTCCTTGCTTCCTTCCTTTTTTTGTTGTGATGTTATTACCTCTATGGAGCATTGTAGAGGGTTAAATGTATGGCAAATATTTTTCTAGAAAGTCAAATGGCATAGGGTACAATTTCTTATTGATTTACTGAACTGGGAGTAGAATGGGCAGGGCAGAGATATGGAAAATTCCATTCCTCCAGTTTTCCACAATGAAGTGGAAAGCAAAACAGGCAGTTTACAATCTGCCCAATACTTTCCCTATAATGATTACAGTTTACTAAAAGCCTGTGGGCTTTTATCTACCTTTTTAGGAACCCAAGAAAGGAGAAAAAAAATGAATCTAGAAAGTCTAAATGCGGAAGGTTTTCGGTCATCATTCAAGAAAAAGCGATGAATCTTAATATGTCTGATTCCACTTATTGTAAGTAGAAATGCCCCCATCGTAGTGATTTTTGCTTTTCTCAAAATGGTGGAATCGTTTCATGTCTTCAAATATCTCCATATATCTCCATATATCTCTGTTGTATATTTCAGTTTGCTGGCTACTTTGGCCTAAAAATAGCACTTATGGAGTAGGGTGAGGCATAGAGATGTGTATTTAAAAATGATAAGCCACAACCTTTTTTGATTTACAAAAACCGAAGTAGAATCCTAACCCAAACCCTTAGCCTTTGACAAAGCAGATTCAAACAAATTGACACATGACAAATAAGCAGTGAAAATGCTTTGGTTCTCTACCACCTTCTAGTTCCTCCATCCTCCCCCATGTTCCTCCATCTTAATACTAGATAGCATTGGTGTAGGGCTTTAAAGTTTACAAATGTTTTACAAATATCATCCTATTTTATCATCACAACAGCCCTAAGGGATACACTGAGCCACCTAACTGCCTTTGCCTTTCCTCTCTTTCTAACTCCCCTTCCCTCTGTTCCCCACCTTTTCCCTCACTTCTCTTCACTTCCATTCATTTAATTTCTTTATAAATGCAGGGTGTCCCCAAAGTCTTCATACAGTTTAAGCTACACTAAGACATTTGGGACACACTGTACCTAGTCAGTGTGTATATAACCCTGGTTCTACTGACTTCAATCTAGTAAATATGTTTTAGGGGGAAATTTTTAATGTCTGACTCTTCGTGACCCCATTTGAGTTTATTTTTTTGGCTAGGATACTAGAGTGGTTTGCCATTCCCTTCTCCAGCTCATTTTGTAGATGAAGAAATTGAGGCAAACAGGGTTAGGTGCCTTACGAAGGGTGACACAGCCAGGAAGTGTCTGAAGTCAGATTTGAACTCAAGTCTTTCTGATTCCAGGAGCGGTGCTCTGCCCACTGTGCCACCCAGCATATTCAGTCTTCTATTCCATTTTCAGTAGATGATTCAAATGCATAGTCTTTGGTTTTCTCCTTTCTGTACCATATAAGTCAGTCTGCCTTAGTAATATACAGTTGTAAAGTTTTTCTTCTCTGATGTCGAATTCTTAACTCTTACTGTTAGGAAATCTCTTCCCAGAATTTTTTTTGCATAAATATAATTCAGAAAAATAAATCTCCTTGAGCAGGTCAGTGTGGTACAGTGGAAAGAACATTGACTTTAGAGTCAGAGAGGACCTGAGTTCAAATTCTGCCTCTGAGGTTTGCTATTGTAGTGACCTTGAGAGAGTAGTATACCTGAGCCTTAGTTTTCTTATTCATAAAATAAAAGGTCTGGACCAGATGCCTTGAAGGCCCTTTCCAGATCTCTGCCTCTGTGTGATACAGCTTTATTTTTTTATTTCTATAGGTACAGATGCAGGAGATAGTGTATTCTTAGACTCCTCTGATACTTCAAAAACTGGTAAATGTCTAAGTTGTAGGAATAAACACCACAAATCACAGAAAAAAGGTAAGATGGATTCAGCACTTCCAAAAAAAATAAGCTTTTGTGTGGGGGCACAGAAGTGAACAGGTCTAAAGGATTCTTCCTTATCTCCTGTTTTCAGAATTCCATTATAAATACAACTGCACAGGTCAGAATCCTTTAAATGTCAATGAATGTGATGGCTTTATCCGGTTCTGTTCATTAAGCAGAAATGAAAGTTTTACTTCAGCTTGTAAGTACTTTGATGGCCTGAAAAGTTACATTTTTTTATATTGATATGCCTGACAAGACAGATGAGGTGCTGTGGGATACATTTTACACCATGGGTTCTCCTTGGAAATCCCCCCTTTTCCCTTTTAGCCTCCTTCTAATCTCTAACATTTCACTGTCTGAGGATATTGATTTCTTATTATTCCTGCCTGGTATGGACTCTAAACCCTAGGCTGACAGGAAGTACTTTCTGGGCTTATCTTGGGGTAGAGTTAAAGGAATGGCCAATGTGAAAATGCTTTCAAAAATTAAAAGTGCAGTACAGACATAAGGCAGAATTTTATCATTATTGGGATCCCTGCTACCTTATTATCAGTCCTTCACTAAAATCCTGCTCTGATGCCTCATTGTGGGGTAGAGGTGACCTGACTTCTTTAAGGCCTTGTCGATGGGGCCCCTACTTTGGGAGGTCTTACCATATTGGAGGGTGTTTGAATTCAGACCTGAATGCAGATAGTGTGGAGGACCAGCTCACCTAAGTTGGGGAAATCTCATCACCAAATTGAAAACAAGATAATTAATGTTTTGGCCATAGCAACTCTTAAAGACCATTTACTAAGTCATAAAGGAGTCTCAATCTGTGTCGGTGAAGGGAGTATCCATGCTGGTGGAAATTATAGGTCCTAAAGATATGGAAGTATCATTCCTATCATGCCCTACAGTTTTGGAGGCTTTAGGAATGTCCTGAATTGATGGTATAGCTAAAGGTGGAATTCATGATGAATCAAGGGTCGGAACAGACTTACTGCCTATTGTGACAGGACTTTTTTTTTTAATACAAAGGGCAAAGTATGTGATAATGCATTATTTTCAGTTTTCTAAAAAATGTATCTTTTTGACTTGGACCATTGTAACTGCCAAGTTTTAACTCATGAAATCTTGTCATCTATATCCACCAAAACAAGGGGCACACCTTCACAATCAATTTGCCAGCTGACTCCAATCCCAAATTTCACTGATTTCTAATTTCATATGATGCTTTTGGTAGAATTGCATGGTCAGAAACACCACCATGTGAGTAATTTATTTGGGTTAGGGGCTCTCAAACTGGGGTCCATGATATTTGGATAACTGAATTTCAACATAAATGGTTTCCTTTGCAATCCTATGTATTTTATGTTAGGCATTTTACAACATTATTTTGAGAAAGGGTTCATAGGCTTTACTAGATTGCCAAAGTGGGGGGGGCAGGAATATGGTGCATGACATAAAAAATGTTAAAAACCCTTATTCTAGGGTATGTTCATTAGGTGGGGAAGAACTTAAATTGAATTTTCATCTCTTACCAATTGTCATGACTGAAATAGGTGTTTGACTTTTTGCTCAGTAGCTACACATCAAAAATGGGATGAAAATCTTGTTGAACAGCCAGAAAATGAATGCTCAAAGGGGTCTGAGAAAAGCGACTCTGGTGAGTCACCCATTCATCACCACTAAATGTAAGGGTCAGTTAAGCAAGCCATCCCACTCATAGCTGCAACTAAACTAAAAACGTCCATACCCTTTGAACCTGAAACTTTATTACTAGGCTTATATCCCAAGGAAACTACTGATCAGAAGAAAGTCCCCATATACACTAAAATATTTATAGCAGCTTTTTATTTATTTTATTTATACCACATTTATTTTATTTATATCACTTTTTGTGATAGCAAAAAATTGGAAACCAAGTAGATGCCCATTGATTAGACAATGGATAAACAAATTGTGGTACATGAATGCAATGGAACATTACTATGCTCTAAGAAATGATACATGTGATGAATACAGAGAAGCATGGAAAGAGCTACATGAACTGATGCAGATTGAAGGAAGCAGAGTCAAGAAATATATATATTATATATATATAGTGTATATATACATAGACTACAACAATGTAAATGGAAAGAACCACACACACACACACACACACACACACAAATCAGAATTGAATGTAACAAAATTTACATAACATCTTGAATTAAGAGCTATAAGAGAACAACCCCCTATCCACTCCTTTGTGGATATGGGAGGTCCATAGGTGTTATACATTGCACATGTTTTAGGACTCATTCAATTCATCAGTTGTGCTGATTCCCCCACCCTTCCCATTTTTATTGATCTTTAAAAAGTATTATTTGCTACAAGGGATGGCTCTCTAGGAGGGAGAGGGATACTATGATAATGTGAAAAACAGAAGATATCAATAAAAATAAAACTGATGGCAGGGCAGATTTGGTCCATGATCTATAGTTTGCTGAACTCTGGGCTAGAACATTGGGATGAATTTAATGGGATGAAATTCTCATAGGGATAAATATAGAGTCTTACACTTGTGTTCAGAAGATCAAATTCACAAGTACAGAATGGCATACTTGGAAAACATTTTGTTTGAAAAAGATCTTTGATTTTATCGAACTGCAAACTCCCATGAGTCAGCCATTTGATGTGGCTGCCGAGAAAAGCTATTAGGTTCTTGAGCTGCATTAGGAGTGTCATAGCTTTCAAGAAGGAAGTTATAGTTCCTCCGTAATCTGCCCTAGTCAGACAACATCTGGCACTTTGTGTTAAGTTATGGGTGCCATAGTTTTAAAAAGGACACTGATAAACTGGAAAGGGTCTGGAAGAGGACAATCAGGATATTGAAAGGTCTTCGAGTCTATTTTACATGAGGATCAGTTGAAGGAATTGGGATTATTAAGTGGGGCAGAGGTGGAGGGGTGAGGGAGAAGGGGAGGAAGGGGAGGAATTGATTGGACTTGTTCTGATGCCCTCAAGGGGCAGAATGGGAGCAAGGAGTGAAAATTGAAAAGCGGCAAACAGACTTGATGTCAGGAGTAATTCCTAACAACCAGAGCTGTCCAAAAGTAGAATTGGTTACCTTGGGGTGTGGTAGGTTTCCTCTTATTGCTGGTCTTCAAGCAGTGGATGGATGACCACTTGTCAGGGATGTCATAGTCAAGATTCCTTTTCATGGTGGGTTGGGTTAGGTAAGCACAAAGGTCCCTTCCAAGTCTCAAATTCACTTATTCTGTGGTTAATTCACTTCCTGAAATGAATTTCATTTTTATGTTGCTCACCACATCTTAGTAGCTTTTGACTCCTTGAATTATTCATTACATAAAGGTGTGAAGTTCCTGAGGTCTATAATCCTTTAGCTTCTTTCATTTCTTATCATATTTTCCAACATAATTTTCACCATTCTTCTTTATGTTCATCATCACACTGAAATTACCAAGCACCAAGTATATATTGAAAGAAAAAGTATATATTGACTTGGTTTGGAAGATTTTATCAACTTTTTGAAGAATTTCTTTATATTTTCATCCTATGCAACATATATTGGTATGTAAGTGGTAATTAGCTTCATGGTATTATTTTTGCTTATGCACATCACAAGTATTGCAAGTATCTTTCTGTATATAAGGTCCATCTTGTCTCCATTAAGATGCTCTGATTTTTAAAATCAAGCCCCTGCTGAGATTCTTATAATCTAGCTACTGGTCAGATTCTTAAAATCTAGCCACTGGTCAGATTCTTATAATCTAGCCAATAGCTTACTAATGTTCAGACCCCTTAAGAGCCTGCCCAATATGACGGATGTTCTAATAAACCTTGTCTTTGGCTGAAAAAAAATGTTCTAATCAAGTCTCCCATGAAATTATACTTCTCACTGTTTTTGAGTATACAATAAAATCAACTCTGCAAACTTTTTTATTTGCCTCTCCTAAAAGGATTGGTGAGTCATCCTTCCACTTAGCCCCAGCTTTCTCATATTTTCTGGTTTCATTTATCATGGAAATATCAATACTGATGTCATCTAGTTCTGCCAGTAGCATGTCAATGTGTTGGTCATTGGGTAAAGATCTCATACTTATTGAGGTAGTGTAGAAAAGGGGGGAAATGTAATACACTGTCTTCAGCTCAGATCTGACCTTCTGCAAGGATCTTTCCTGGTCCCTCCCACTGCTAGTCCCTTTCCTTTGAGATTATCTTCCATTTATACTTAATATATCTTGTATGTATATAAATTATTTGCATGTTGTCATCTCCATTAGAATGCAATATCCTTGAAGGCTGAGACCTTTGTTTTTGTCTTTCTTTGTATCCCCAGTGCTTAGCACAATGCCTGGCACATAGTAAGTGCTCAATAAATGCTTGTTTGGGGGCTCCTTATTGGCCAAGATAATGGAGTAAACAGACTGCTAATCTTATTATTGCTGTTAGTTGAACCTTGAAGAGTAGCTTGACTTGCTATGAGTTTTCCCTCTCCTTTTCCTGCCTGGTGCCTCTGTATTGGAAGTAAACTTCTCTTATTTGTCAAATGGGATCCTTCTGAGAAGGAAGAGTGGTGATAAGTAGGGAATGGAGGAGGCTGAAGAGAGAAAGAAGGGAGGGGGAAGAAGGAAAGAAGAGTCAAGGTAGGTAGGGACAAAGAAGACATAGATGATGACTTTGGTCTTCTCAACTATTCGCCTGATCATTCCATGATCTTTCTTCCTTTCCATGACTTCCCTCATGTCTCTTGTTCAGATCCTTCTAGCATTTCACCTGGACTATTGCAATAGTCTTCTAATTGGTCTTCCTATTTCCAGTCTCTCGTCTCTCCAATCTGTCCTCCAAATGGCTAACACAATAGTCTTTCTAAGTTAACACAATTCTGACCATGTCACTTCTTTGCTTAAGAAATCTCAGTGACTCCCTATCACTTCTATAGTAAAACTCAGACTCCTCAGCTGGGCCTTCAGAACCCTTCAGAATCTACCGCACTCTATCTTCTAGGCTTCTTTCACATCACTCTTCTTTACAAAATTCTGTGTTTCAGGCAGACTGTCCCACTTACTGTTTTCTGAATTTTCACTTCATTTTTTGTTTCTTTCTTTTGGAGGCAATTGTGGTTAAGTGACTTGCTTAGGGTCACACAGCTAGTAAGTGTCTGAGGTTGGATTTGAACTCAGATATTCCAGACTCCAGGATCGGTGCTCTCTTTGCTGTACCACCTACTTGCCCCCTACTCTTTTTTTTTTTTCATTTCTTGTTTCCATCCACTTGCAGAGACTGTCTCCTCCCCTGTCCCCCTGACTCCTTCCTCGCTTCTGGCTCTTAAAATTCTTACTTTCCTTCAATGGCTAAATGTGGGTGCTGTCTCTTAAAGGAAGCCTTTTCTGATCCCCTTCGTGTTCTGTCCCACCTCAAATTATTTCGTGTTTACTTATTTGTATACATATTGTATACTTCCCCCCCCCATTAGAATGTAAACCCCTTGAGGGCAGGAACTATTTCCTTTTATCCTCACATCCCTAGCACCTAAAACAACATGTTCCACAAAGACGGGCCTTCCTTCCACATCTTTCTATGTTTTCTTCTGTGTTTGCACAACTCCCATTTTATATACTTATCTCGGTAACCATGTAGCTGGTCATTGTTACTTGGGGAGAAACTTTTTGTAAGTATCTGTTTTCAGAACTTAAACCTTAAGGAAAGCTTCTTTTTGGGGTTATTACTGCTACTTTGAATCTAATCTCAGTCATTATTTCAGTATGTTCACAACAGAAAAAACAACAACCCCTGAGAATTACTGCTAAATCCTTCCAAGGTCAAGATGAAATGATCCTTGCTGAGAAGTAAGTGATATTTTAGACTCCTAATATCTTTGGGGATTGTGGTTTTATAGCAGGGGATGAAAGCCTTGAGTTTGGTTAAAAAAATCCTCGTGAATATCAATGGCAACAAAGAAATTAAGACACAGGAAGAAAATAGTTTATTAGTTTGGAAACTAGAAGTTTCTCTACTCAGATGTCTTTGGTTATCATTAAAGAGGACATGAATAGCCTTTTCAAGCTCAGAAATCCTTACTGTCTCAACAAGTATAAAGAATTAGAAAATAGGGGCAGCTAGGGGACGCAGTAGATAGAACACTGGTCTTTGAGTCAGGAAGACTTGAGTTCAACTCTGTCCTCAGACACTTAACACTCACTAGCTGTGTGACTCTGGGCAAGTCACTTAACCCCAATTGCCTCACACACAAAAAATTAAAAAATAGCACAAAGGACATTGTTTTTTTTTTTTTTTTTGCATGATCATATCCAGGACGATTATAGCTTTGGTACAAGAAGACGCTTCAGCTTAAGGTATCTGTTATGATAGGCTGTGAGCTTCTTGAGAGCAAAGACTGTCTTTTGCCTTCCTTTGCATCCCCAGAATTTAGCACAATGCCTGGCACATAGTATGCACATAATCAACATCTGTTGACTGACTGACTGGAGGACACCTCATTTTTTAGAGCCCGACCTCCGTCAGTCTGTACTTTGCTGTTGTTGTTGTTATTCAGTTGGGTCTCTTTGTGACCCCATGGACCATACTGTCCATGGAGTTTTCTTGGGCAAAGATACTGGAGCGGTTTGCCATTTCCTTCTCCAGTCTGTACTTTGCTACCCAAGGCTTAATATCGCTATGTTCCTGCAGACATTAAAATTCACCTAAAGATATGAAGATAAATAAAGACTGTAGCTTATTTCCTTAATGCTGGTGTGTGCCTTTAAGGGAGTGCCTTTCTGACAATTACCTAATGTGATCAAACTCATATAGGCTAATGAACTAAGGGGAAAAGTAGCTTGATGTGGACGGAACCCACTTCGGGAACACCTGAATTTGAAATGAAAGAGCTGTGTGACTCTGAGCAAGGTCCTCAACCTTAGTCTTCTCTTCTATAAAATGGGGATAATAATAGCACCTACTTCACAAGGTTGTCATGAGGATCAAATAAGTTAACATATGTAAAGCACTTCACAAACCTTCAAGTGGTTTATAAATGTTGGCTGTTGAATAGGGGCCTCTTAGGCAATAACACTTTTTCCTCCTTCTGTTGTCTAAATGAAAGACATACTCAAATGATGAGAATTTCAGGTCAGAGAGGAGTTAAGGGTGGCATCATGGTAGGCCAGAGATAGGGGGTGGGGGTGGGGTGGGGAGGGAAATTCAGGGACAGGTAGATCCTTGTAGCCTCAATTCACAAGCTGTGAGCAGCTGCCTGTACTTGTTACATATAGAGCCCAACCATGGGCAGGGGTAGGTCCACTGGGATTGTGTCAGAGTCCTGGGGAGTCCACTAAGACAGAGATAGGTGAAGAGGCTTCTGTTTAATTGCTGGTGTCAGCCACTTCCTCTCTACAAACCCCTCCCCCCCCCATCTCTCAGGAACTAGACCACATCACTCTGGGATAACTATAGTTGGCAGGTTCTTTCTCTTGATTTTGTGAATAAGCAGTGTATGGAAAGATGGGTTGGACCAAGGTGAATATTAAAGAAAGATTTTTTCAGATTTCCTCCCCTTCTGTCTGCTCCAAAGGGAAAGAGGCAAGCAGTCCTGGAGGAAATACGCTTTATAGTCATTGCAAGTGAGTCTTTTTTAAGTTCTGGGCTGTGATCAGCCACAATGGAATTCTAAGGGCAAGAGAAACTGAGTGATTGACCTAGTGTGGGGAACCAGTGGAGCTCCACTCAATCACAGCCCTGACCTAGAGGAGGAAGAAGCAACCACCAAGCCGAAATGCAGTGAGGGCGCCGGGTTGATTCTGGAGACAAACTGATGTGCAACCGTGACTGTCTCGTGCATTTCTTTTCCAGACAGAATCCAAAGTCTTCCAAATACTGCCGAGGCATCTGCGATCAAATTGCAAACTCTCCCCATCATCCCTCCTGTAGCATTTCTGGAAGCAAAGCCCTGTACAGCATCCAAAACATCCACAGAAATGATTCTGAGGTGAGGGTTTTGATGCCCGCATGTCCTCCTCACTCACTGGTTTTGTCCTTTAGGTTCAGGGACAATCAGACTTTTGATTTCTAACCCAGTGTGTGAAGGAATAGAAAATGTACCACTGCCTCGAGTTGCTGGCAAACCAATGAATTTAAAGGGAAGTTAAATTGCAGAGGTTTGTTGGGGTTAACCCTAAGCCAACATTCCTTCACATCCTGACCTGCCTTTCTACCTCTGCAGAATATCACTTGCAGTCAGTTCTTCTTTTTTTTAAATTTTAAAAAAAATTTTTTTTTTAGGCAATTGGGGTTAAGTGACTTGCCCAGGGTCACACAGCTAGTAAGTGTCAAGAGTTTGGTCTGAGGTCAGAATTGAACTCAGGTCCTCCTGACTTCAGGGCCTCTGCTCTATCCACTGCACCACCTAGCAGCCAATTCTTTGTCACTTCTCCTTTAACCACCATCGTTTAAGTCATCAGCTCTTATCAGCTAAACCCTTCTAGTTTCCTAAAGTCTTCCTGCTTCCTTCTATGTACTAGCTAACCAATACACCACATGGTTGTCTATATGTCTGTAGTACTCAGGTCATATCAATCCTCTACTCAGAAGCCTTCAATGGCTCCCCATTGCCTACCAAAACTAATAAAAACTCCTAACTCTTGGCAAGTAGGTGGCACAGTGGATAGAGGGTGAGACTTGGAGTGAGAAAGACTTAAGTTCAAACTCTTGCCCTAATCACATACTAACTGTATGACCCTGGGCAAGTTAACCTATCTCTGCCTCAGTTTCTTCATCTATAGGATAAAGATAGCACCTACCTCTCAGGGTCATTGTAAACTTAAAATGGGATCATATTTTAAAGTACTTTGCAAACCTCAAAGCACCATATAAATGCTACCTATTATTATTATTATATTGATATTATTCAGCCCATCTATTCAACCTATTTTATACTATTCTCCTTCATGAATTTTTGGTTCCAGCTAAGCTGGACTACTCTCTGTCCCTTGTTCTCTTGGGTCTTCTCTCTTTTTGTGTCTTTGCTCACACTGTCCTCCACTCTTGGAATGGACTCCTCTCCCTAATCACATCTCCACCTGCTGAAAACTTTCCTTTTCTTCAAAACCCAACTCAGGTGTCATCTCTGCCAGAAAACCTTTAGTCAGTCCATAATCATTTATTAGGTGCCTATTACGTGCCAAGAACTGTGCTGGGAGACAAAAAGAGGCAAAAAAACCAAAACCAAACAAAACAAAACACAAAACAAATTCAGGGGCCCTTGAGGAGCTTACAGCCTAATCTTACTCATCTCCACTCCCTCTTTCACTTCTAGGTGAAAGAAATCTCCTTTAACTATAGCATGGGGCCTGGCACTTAATAAAGACTTCCTTCCTCCCTTCCTCCCTCTTTTTTCTTCCTTCCTCTGTCCCTCCTTCCCTTCCTCCCTTCCTTCTTTATTTCCATAGCACTTTGTTTAGTTCTTCCCTTTACCTCTTGTTCACTCTCCTTTGTATCATAGTTATTTTTATAATTGTCCCTTCCTCCCATTGGGTTGCAAGCTCTGGTAGCAGGGCCTGTGTTGTGTGGAATGTGTTACTGGAAAGAGTCCTGGATTGGAGTTGAAAAGAGCAGGGCTCTATTTACTCCTGGTCTGACTTTGGGTATGTCATTTAACTTTTCAGAATCTCAGCTTCCTTTTCTACAAAGTGAGTCCGGTAGAAGTCTCTGAGGTTCCTTCCAGTAATGAATTCTGTGATCCATCTTTGTATCCTCAGGGCCTAGCAGAGGACTTTTCCTATAGTCACTACTCGATAACTGTTTATTGACCTGGATTTTCCAGGAGGAGGTACTGTTGTTGGCATTTTCCTTGGCCATGTGCTATGTCTATGTGGGGCTTTCAGGTTCTCCATATAAAATCACTAGGTGCCTTCACACTAGCTAGCTCTTTAACTGCTTCTGGTTATTCCAACAGAACTTGGAATTTTCTCATCACCAATGCTGGTCCCCAGCCCGTATTCAGATAGGTTTCCTCACATCCGTACTATTCTCTACCAGGCTCTTGAGTTACAGTTTGGATAAGTATAACTTTGGCCTGCTTTCTCTCTCCCTATGCCTCTCAAATTTCTTCCCCTCAGTAGGGATCAACTCAGCCTGACCCTGCTGTCCAGACCTCCTGGGTGCATGCTCATCATTGCTGTCTCTTCCTAAACCTCTAGCTATTAACTTAACAATATATTCCATCTTTAGCTGGTTTCCTTGGAAACCAAACTGCAGGCATAAAAATTGCCTATAAAGAAATGAATCAATTCCCCCAAAACAACCAACCACTTGGTTAAAACCAAGTATTTAAACAATGGTGTTGATGAAACATAAGAGGAAGAATTTGTTATAGACATATATATTTACCTAACTAAAACATATGGATTTCCCCTCATACAGATTTTAAATTCCACCTTGGACTATGCCCTAAGGACTGCCATCACTTTAAAAGAAACGACTGAGCAAATGATACAGGCAATTGCCAGGGACCTGGCCAAAGCTCAGGGTCACAGAAGCTGCCAGAAGTTCTAGCTTTAACACAGCCAATATATTAACAGGAAAAAAAAGATGTGACGTAAACCTTGTCTTCCTGAAAGGATGTATTACTCACCGTTAGTAAGTACCCCAGTTTAGTAGGGAAACTGGGCTTCTAGCAAAGAGCTGCCTCTCTGCTAAGGCAAAGGACAGTGTGCTTGTGTGTGTGGGAGGATGATGGGGGTGGGGGTGGGGATGTCAATCCTTCGTCCTTAAAACCAAAATAGCTCACTTTACAAGTATTTGCTGAAAATCAATACTAGTTAGAAAAAATGCCTCTCCGTGAGAGAGAAATAAGCACAAATCCAGTTATGATGTTGGGAAATGGTTAAACATTCATTAAAACTGTAAATACCTTTGCTTCTGAATGATGAGTACGGGTGATTAAGTAGATTTCCAGCGTCGCACATAGTCAGCTTCTACAAATCTGATCTTTCAGTACTTCAAAGATTTCCAAACTTCTGCACCTTAGATGCTTCCTGAGTTACTGTTTCTGAAAAGAAATCTCATCTGGCGGCCAGACCTGGTGATGGAGCCTCTGAAATGGACACTCTGAAATGAAGCCTTCCGAGCTGGGTAGAACTTTCCAGAGGCTGAGCTTCACCCAGGGTCTTCACACCATCATGATGCATCGCAGGAAGATTTCAAAGGATTCAGATTGTGGTGGTGTTTTTTTCCCTGTATTTTTATCACAAAGATGCGTTTCTTCATTTTCTTTCTTTTTCCCCTCTAATCATTCCCTCCTTGCATCTCATCTCTGGTGTACTTGCCTAAGACTCCAAGATCTTAGCAGTCCCTAAAATAGGCAAAGCCATTCTTGTTTCAAGCTTTACCGTTATGAAGTACTTTGCATATATGGTAGCAGAGTATAATGTAAAGAGTAGTGGACTGGGAGGGAACCAGGGTCTCTAGATTGTCATCTCAGCCCTGCTGCTGTCAGGCAATAAAATTTAAGCACCTACTATGTGCCAGGCACTGTGCTAAGCACTGGGGATATAAAGAATGATAAAAAGATAGTCCCTATTCTTCAGGAGCTCACAATCTATTGGAGGAAGAAAATGCATAAGAGGAGATTAAAAAGAGGTGAGGAGAGGAGAAATGGTGCCTAGTGTGGGGGCATGATAAAGTTCAGGAGTGCAGCTAGATGGGAAATGAGATGAGTTCCCTGGGCAGCCTCCTACAAAGAAGGGTCAGGGAGGGGATCTCCACTGCTCAGGGAGGAAGAGCCCCAGAGGCAGGAGTACTAAGGAGGCATGAGTTTCAGAGCGGACGTGGTCTTGGATGATGATGAGATAGTGGAGGGCATGATAAATCTGGAAGTGCAGCCAGGTGGGAAATGATGATACTTCATATTGAAATGGCACTTGGATGTTTCCAAGGCACTTTCCTCACAACAACCCAATGGAGTATGTAACCATCTGTGCCACCTCAGACATATCACTTTGTTTCTCCTCAGTTTCCTCATTTGTAAGATGAGGGAGTTAGATTATATGTTGTTTTTTTTTTAAGTTTTATTTTTGTCTTTTGTGTTTACATCATAGTGATTTTCTCTTAACTGTTCTCTCATCCCCACTGAACCCTTCCTTGTGTACCCTTTAGCTTCAGGTCCTCCCAGGATTCTGAGTTCACATGGACACGAATCTGAATCTAGGGGCTGACGCCCAAGAACTTCATTTTCTCTGTCTGGTTCAAGGTGCCCACATGAGAGTAAAGCTTTTGGAAATTGCCTGAGTCAAGCAAGGGTATATGTAACTCATGTCTAGTTTTCCCCATGTGTGGATAACAGGATCCCTTACAAAGGCATTCAAAGCACAAATGGGTATCAGATATGAAAAAAGTATTTCATCCTCTTCAGAAAATGCATAAGATGCAAAGAACTTACAGGTGTCCTTGAATAATACAGAAACAAAAGGCACTCCAGAGCTCTTTAGGTTCCTCCAGAACAAAAAGACATTTGGGGGAGAATGCTGAAAAAAATACTCTCCATCTCCCTTAGACATGTGGTGCCTGAAAACCTTGTGTCATTAGCAGGGTTGGCATGGCCCAGATCTCCCTTTCTCACCCACTCCCTCCACCCTAGTATGGCTTTAGTCCTTTAGGTACAGTGCAATCCTGTGATAAGGATACTCTTCCTTCCCTAATTGGGGAGTGGTTAAGGACATTTCCTATTAAGGAGCCAGTACACTAAAGATTGAATTTGGAATTTCTTGGTCTTTTGGGACCTTTCAAGCACTATTGTAGGGTGGGGGTGGGGGTGGGGAGGGCAGGTTATTGGGAAAAGTTTCCCCCAGAGGTGGGGTTTGAGCTGAAGCCAGGGTGGCCAGGAGGTAGAAATGAGGAGAGCATGCCAAGCATTCGGGACAGCCAGAGAAAACGTGGAGCTTGGAGATGGAGTATAGCTGGATGGAAGAGTACATGGAGGGGAATAAAAAGCCTGGAAAGGTGGGAAGGACTTTAAATGCCAAACAGAGGATTTTATACACCCTGTCCCAAAGATCTTAGTGAGGGTTTAAACTGGAGCTTAAATTCGATCCTGGAGGTAGTAGGGAGCCATGAGAATTTATTGAATGGGAATGGGGTCACATAGCCAGTATGTCCCCTTCAGAAGGAGGATTTGAACCCAGGTTTTCGGGCTCCAAAGCCAGTTCTCTAGCCATTACACATATATCCTCGGCTGGAGGATAATGGATTGATAGTTGGTGGAATCATCATACATACACCCAAAATGTTGAGTGGATAAATGTCAGCCTGGAAGGTGGTTTCATCAGGAGCATGCCCCACCACAGAGTTCTGTCCTTGGTTCTGTTTTGTCTAACACTCTCATCAACAACTTGAAGACATGCTTATTAAATTTACAGATGATATTGAACTAAATGGAAATATGTAATAAACCACATGAATATGTAATAAATTAAGTGATAGAATCAAGGATCCAAAAGGCTCCCAGGAGGCTGCATTGCCTTCCCCCCACACCCCCAAGGTTACTTTGTAAGTATGTATGTGCACACACACCCATATTGTGTCCCCTTTCAGGGCGTAAGCTACTTGCGGCCAGTGTCTATTTTCTGTCTTTGTATCCCTGTGCCCCTGGCACTATGCCTAGCACATGGATGCTTAAAGTATGTTTGTTTATTCGATGGGCCAAACCCACTAAGATGAAATTTAATAGTGTTAAGTAAGAATTTTGCATAAAGGTAAAAAAATCATTTGCACAAATACAGGATGAAGACCTGTCTAAGTGGTATGCTGTATGAAGCTGGCTGCAGGCTCAATATTTCAAGTGTGGTACAGTTGCCCAAAAAGCTAATTCATTCTTAAGGCTGCCTGCAACACTTTAGAACATTTTAGAGATTACAAAACATTTTCCTCACTACCCTCAGTGCAAGTATTGACTCAATTTTATAAGTGAGGAAACTGAGGCTCAGAGATACTTGCTGACAGGCACCTAGCAAATGGAAAATCTGGAGTTCAAATGCAGTATTCATTCCACTATAGAAGCACAGTGCCTGGGACAAGGGCAGTGATGGGGAAGAGAATTAACACTGATAGAGTACATACTATATGCCAGGCATTGTGCCAAGCACTTCACAAGTATTATCTCATTTGATCCTCACAACAAGTCTGGGAGGTAGATGCTGTTATTTTCTCCATTTTACAGCTGAAGAAACTGAAACAAACTGAGGTTAAATGACTTGCTCAGGGTCACACAGCCAGTGTTTGAGGCTAGATTTGAACTCAGGCCTGTCCTGACGCCAGGCCCTCTGCTTTATCCACTGTGCCACCCCGGTGCCTCACTGTACAGTCATGGTTCTATTGTACTCTTCCCCATCCAGACCACACTGGAATACTGGTCAGTTCTGCACATGCCAAATTTAAGGAGGGGCACTGTCAAGCTAGAGTATGTCCAGAGGACGCTGACCAGGATTCAAATTTTTGTGATGCAAGAGTTTGGGAAAATGGAAATACTTAACCTGGAAAACATACTTATGCGATATGAGGGTTGGGGAACATAAACAATTTTCTTTAAATATTTGGAGGAATGTCACAAGGAAAAATGAGAATTTTCTGATAATAGGATGGGTTGCCTCATGAAGTAATGACAGCAGACTAGTACTAGGTGGCGCTGTGGACAGTGCTAGATGTGGAGTCGGGAAGACCCGAGTGCAAAGCCAACCTCAGAAACCTGTTGGGCTGAAAAAAGCATACCTTGTCTCTACTCCTCCCTCTTCTTGCTTGCAAAAGGCCTGAGAGATGCCTTTCTATGCTGAACCTGTCTCCTAGGCTGTCTTTCTACTTGTTGGGGACCTTCCTGCCTACAAGGAAGAGACATCTTCCCTCCCTCCCTCTTTCCTTCCTTCCTTTCTTCTTTTCTCCCATCCTTCCTTCCTTCCCAAAGTAAATAGTGAGATATTTGAGAAAATAATGTGGAATATCAAGTCTTTGCAAATGATGGTTAGATTTTCTTGACAACATTTCCTTCCCCATGCAACAGAAATTCAGACAACTCACACCAAATTTTACTATCAAAAATTGTAAGTGGACAATACAGAAGGTTAAGTTATGGCTACTTTTCTGTTCTAGGAGAGAACTGAAAACTACCAAATGCAGTGAATGAGGTAATAAGGACTTTATTTTTTAAAGTTTAGGAAATACTCAACATTTTTATTTCATTCAGTCAACTGCTAAAGAATAAGTAAATTTGAGACAATGGGTAGAAATCTTTAAAATGATATGCAGAAGAAAATGAAAATTAGGAGAAACTGTTGACATAAATAAAAGAGTTTAAGGAGATAGCTATAAACATCAAAAGGGTTTTTCTATTGAGCAAATTGCTGGTTTGTTCTTTAATTTTCTAAGTTGGTTAGAGATTAGGATAGTCACAAAGTAAATAGTGAGATATTTGAGAAAATAACATGTTTTCTTTAGCACAGACACTTTTTTCTATAAAGTTACTCTTGATGCTAGCACTGATATTAGTCTCTGCAGAATAGTAAGCA